CCCATAGTGCCCCAGGGATGTGCAGGTTAGGGTGGATTGGCCGTGCTAAATTGTCCCATAGTGCCCAGGGATGTGCAGGTTAGGGTGGATTGGCCGTGCTAAATTGTCCCATAATGCCCAGGGATGTGCAGGTTAGGGTGGATTGTCCGTGCTAAATTGTCCCATAGTGCCCCAGGGATGTGCAGGTTAGGGTGGATTGTCCGTGCTAAATTGTCCCATAGTGCCCCAGGGATGTGCGGGTTAGGGTGGATTGGCCGTGCTTTGGTGTCCCATAGTGCCCCAGGGATGTGCGGGTTAGGGTGGATTGGCCGTGCTAAATTGTCCCATAGTGTCCAGGGATGTGCAGGTTAGGGTGGATTGACCGTGCTAAATTGTCCCATAGTGCCCAGGGATGTGCAGCTTAGCATCGGGCCATGGGAAACACAGGGATACAGGGATAGGGTATGGGGGTGGGTCTGAGTAGGATACTTTTGGGAGGCTGTGTGCTGACTCTCTGGGCCAAACGGCCTCTGTTTGCACTGTAGGGATTCTCTGATGATGATAGGCACATTGCGGATGGCAGTGAAATAGATGGGAAGGCATTTGGTGAGGATGACACACAGAGTTTGCAGAGGGACAGAGGAAGGTTAGGCGAGTGAGAAAAAAGCTTGTCAGATGTGATATAGCGTGGGACATGTGAGGTCATGCACTCTGGCAGGAAGAGGAGAGGATCTGAATATTGTTTAAACGGAGAAAGCCTGCAGAAAGCTACAGCACAGAGGGATTTGGGAGTCCTCAAGTATAAATCACAAAAAGCTAACACAAGTTTAGCGGGTAATAGGGAAGGCAAATGGAACGGTGGCCTTTGTTTCAAACTGAGTATAAAAGTCGGGAAGTTTTGTTAAAACTATACAAGGCACTAGCCAGCCCACAGCTGGGACACTGCGAACAGTTTTGTTCCCCGTATCTAAGGAAAGACAGACTGACACTGGGGGCAGCCCAAAGAAGGTTCACTCGGCTGATCCCGGGGATGGAGGGACTGTCTGTTGAGGGAGAGGTTGGGGTAGGTTGGGCCTGTACTCGATGGAGTTTAGGGGAGTGAGAGGCGACCTTACTGAAACATACAAGAGGGGGCTTGACTGGGGAGATGTGGAGATGTTGTTTCTCCCCTGTCAGAGAGTCGAGGGCCAGAGGGTGTAATCTCAGAATAACGGGTCACCCATCTGAGACAGAGATGAGGAGGAATTTCTTCTCTCCGAGGGGAGTGAATCTGCAAAGTTCCCTACCGCGGAGGCTGAGAGAGGCACAGCTTTTTCATTAGGAAGGGAATGGAGGGGGCAAAGGCAAGGAAAATGGAGCTAGGATTATCAGATCGGCCACGATATCATTGAATGGCGAGCAGTCTCGATGGCTCCGAAACCATGTGGTCTTAAATAATTGCTTTCCACGCCCTGAGAAATCACCTTCAAGATGTCCAGAGTTTGCGATCAATCCCAAAAGTGCGAAGAATAACAGAGGAAACCAAATTCTTCGCCATTTGATTCCTATAGATGTGGATGAGGCAACCATGTGGGGTCTGGTAAAGAAGGATATCGTGGAAATGTTCCACTTTGTTCTTTGGGCTACAGAGTCGGCCAAACCTGCTGCATTCCCCTCTCAGCCTGACCAATCAGAGCCTGGCTTCAAACCCAATCGGCTGACTAAGGTTGGCCAACAGTCACAGTCAACAAATCACTTACCGTACAAGTTGGCATTCCCTTTCCAGGC